CGTGTTATCGGCACTAGTTTATAGTAGGGGTTACAAACAGGTGAGAGAGGGAGCAGGTCCCAAGTCTCTGGTGAAAAGGTCGAACGGAGTTGAGTCTCGTTGAGCTCGTTGAGCCCCTTTCACTCTTCATGGGGCGTCCTGCTTCCCCTTTATAGATAAAGGGGAAGGCGCAGGTTACACGAGATAAAGAGAGAGAGAGAAGAGAGGAGGAAGAAGGCCTACGGGGTCGCGGCGCCCTTCATCTCCTTTACGCAGGTCCCGCTGGTCGTGTAGATGATGATGGGGACGGCACCACGTCGCGACCCTATTCATCACCGGTGGTATACGCGGGCGTCGTCAGCCAGTCGTGGCGCTCCATTCCATCCCAGCGGGCGACATGGTTAGCAGATACCCCCGTCTGAAGTCGTACGGGGATTAGGTAGCATAGCGCCCGCACGCCCGACACTGTTGGCGACGTGAGTCCTCAGGTATGGCCCGTCGTGGCCGAGGGTCTCGTCAAGACGCGCATACTCCCTTTCTAGTGTCAGAAGTTTGACCTTGGGTTCGTACTTTTAGACCCGTAGTGGTTGGAGGCGGTACGGACCCCGTTGGGCGAGGTGGAATCCCCCTTTGAGGGGTTTGGCGAGGTGAAGTCCGCGCCCGAGGGGTCGGGCGAGACGAAGCCCGCACCCTCGGGGTCAGACGTGACGAAGCCCGCACCCTCGGGGTCTGGCAAGACGGAGCCCGCGCCCTCGGGATCGGGCGAGACGAAGCCCGCGCCCTCGGGGTCAGGCGTGATGGAGCTCGCGCCCTCGGGGTCTGGCGAGACGGAGCTCGCGCCCTCGGGGTCGGGCGAGACGGAGCCCGTACCTTCGGGGTTGGGCGAGACCAAAATACGCTCTTAACCATCCGGGCGAGTTAGCGTTTGCGGCCATCAACTTCCTTCTTTTAGGTATCCCTAATACTGATATCCCACACTTAGACATTTTTTTTCGTCTCCAGACATGCCTTACGCTGTGTTTGGATTGAAGGAATACCATAGGAAAATTGCAGGAATCAGAAACAGAGGAAAGGAAACTCATGTGAGCGTTTGGAACGGAGGAATCGGCCAAACCGTTCCTCCGGAATACTGTAGCTATGAAGCAATTTCACGGGAATGAAAGAATCCAGTCTGATCCATTGTTTTGTTTTCCTTCGCTGAAGCCTGAGGTAGCGCGTGTGAAGTGGAGGGAAAAAAGAGCAGTTAAGGCGAGAAGAACATGGTGGGGTCATATCCGTGCCTAATAGATATAGTAATTAGTACCCATATTTGTCTAACATATTACAATTCATATGTTATAAATTTCTGTGTTCCAAACAGCCTAAATTTTCTATTCCTATGTTTTGAAACCCCATAATTTTTCATTTTTCATCGTACCTTATTTCTGTGTTTTAAATTCCTTCGTTCCAAACATGCCCTTAGCTTTTGAGTTTGGGCGTTTTCCAATCCTTCTTCGACCGGCTCTTCTTCGGTGTTTTTCCTTTCGATGACTAGAAATTGCAGGAAAACTCGCCTACTACCACACCAAGCACAGCAGGAGAATGAAGTGCCACACTATGACACTATCACCAACCCCGCCGGCCGCGGCCTCCATCTCCATTATTATTAGCTCATCCGTCCACACACTTCTGGTACGCTGCTCTGCACACAGGAAAACATATCCATGATGTGTGTCCGATCCTGGCGTTCAGCCGTCCACATGCCTCAAATAAATCGACAGATGCTGTCCCGCGGAAACTTTGTTTTGGTCGCATTACTTGCTATATAGCTCTGTATTCATTAGCTACAGGTAAAGTTTACTTTCGGTTAGTAAGACACAATCTTGCTAGACTTGAAACGGAAACAGTTTTGGCTAAACAATATATATATAGTGGTTTTTAGTTATTGTGTATAACATATATTTTATTATTACTTATATATGTCTAGGTGTGTGTATGGCTGTATATATATAGCAAAAACTATCTAAAACTAAAATGGCCGAGGCGCTAAATCAAATAATACCACGCTTTCATGAATCATAAAAATAACAACAGCAGCAGCAGCATCAATGATACTCTCTCCGTCCACAAAAGAATATAATTATGGAAAACGTGCTGGTCAAACTAGTCTAGGTTTGACTAAGTTTATTTTAAATAATATTAACATTTATGTTTTTAAATAAATTTATTATGAAAATATATTCTATAACTAATCTAATGATACTTATTTTGAATCATGAATGTTAATATTTTTTTATACAAATTTAGTCAAAATTCAAATAACTTGACTTCTAAAAAAACCGATAATTGTATTTTTTTTTTAACGGAGGGAGTAAAAGAAATGAGCAGCTCTGGATGTCAACATGCAATAAAGTGTGTACACAACCAGCCCGTGCGAGTGCTCAAATAAAAATCATTGCAAAAAATGTCAAGGCACATACCACGTGGGAGACGGCTCGGGAGATCAAATAAGTTCTTGTCAAAGCGAAGACCGTGAAGCGAAGCACACCTACACGTGCACGGTCCGCTCCTGGCGTTTTGTTGAACAGATATATATTTTTAACACATGTGAAAAACGAAAACGGAGCTTATCTTATGGAAAAGTGTTTCCATTGTTTTTAACAGCCTGTATGGGAACGGTACCTGCAGGAGATCCTCAAAGAGCAACTCTAGTCGAATCATGGCTCGCTGGAGTACACTTCTTTGTGTGGTTCTTGTGGCACCCTGCGTGTAGTGGGCTTGGCATTTAAGACCAATTAGCATGCGAATCACCAATTTAGGACTCGCCACGATGAGGACGTAGGTCACCGGCGAGCAACCGAATCTCGGAGGATATATCATTGTGTCAACTGACTTGCCCCGTGTGGTTTGCTTACTATTACTCTTGCAATTATATTCATATACTCGTCTTGTGTGTTAGTTGCTTGACTAGCTTAGTGTAGAAGTAGCTCTAGTGACAGCTTGTTTTAGTTGCCTTTTTAGTAGCTCTTGCTAGTTGTAGTTAGTTTTGCTAGAGTAGCTTGTTTGTTTGAGTGATATAATTTAGAGACCAAGGCATTCTCTCACTCACCACTCCTGGTTTTGAGGCCCAAGCTGGTCAAACCCATAGTCAATAGTTTTGAGTCTCAAACCACTAAACTGTTCCTGCTACGTTTTGAGGACTAAACGAACAAATAAACCCTCATGCACGTCCTCATTAGATGTGACTAGATGATGTCGTCGTGTGTCTAGTCTCCATGTCCTCGTCCCGACAATCCTCCAAGTGCTCTCGTGACGCCTCATCTTGACCAACACTGACCTTGACTCTAGTCAACGTCGCCTTCATCACTCATGTACTCTTACTCTTCCATATGCCTGATACGAGCCACCCATGATCCATCCTCAATCTCCTAGTCCTTTGATCCAAGCGTTTTCATCCGTCCTTCATCACTCTCACGGACTACTGGTTTGACCTTCTCCATCGCCTGGCGACCATCTTGGGGTATCTAACACCTGCACATTTATAAGCCAAGAGCCATGTTACCCAACACAACACACGACACCTCTAATTCGCCATTAGTATTATAAGACAAATAGGGAAAATGAACACATCCAGAAAAGTCTAAACCTCTTAACTATTGTGTCAATTATTCATTGTATATATGAATACGACCAAGATACTTCTCAAGTCTCAACTTGATCCCTCATGTTTCAAATCCAATGAACGGTGGACCAAGGAACATTACTCTATTTTTTTCCAATACACGGTCAGACGAAGAAAATGATTTTATTTTGAAATACAAGGGTCGGTGGTGGACCTGATCTATGGCCAAATCCGCGGCCCCTCTCCATCCACATGAATCACATTCGCATCTATATTTTCGCAACACAGCCTCAACCTTTTGTGTGCCGTTGCAACTTTTGACTTGTTGCAGAGTTGCAATCTCTCTCTGATGGACCGTTGCTGCAAGTTTCAACGAGACGGTCCGGCCTAGACCACCTTGGACCTGGATTACATTGTTGGGCTACAAATGGAGCCCAACGGAAGGATACTTTTTTTTAAAAAAATATAATAATCTTCTTAAGAGGTCGTTCGATTAGCTTCAGCCCGAGGAGATTGAGGGGACTTTATCCTTCACAAATCGGAATCCCCTCGGATTAGTGAATGACTGATAAGTATAAAATTGGCAAACTATAACAGCTGGGGTGGTGGCGCAGTTGGCTAGCGCGTAGGTCTCATAGCTAAGTGAGTGATCCTGAGGTCGAGAGTTCGAGCCTCTCTCACCCCATTGTTTTTTTGTCTTGACTGTTGAGTTTTCTGTTCTCTTTTTTGTGCCTTCTCCATGCCCTTTCTACACACATCCTTAGTTTTTTTTTCTGCATTTTTCCATTCTTTTTTCTTGAGTTTTCCATTCTATTGTTTTGCGCCTTCTCAATTGTGTTTCTACATACATCTTTTATTTTCTCTGCATTTTCCATTCTGCAGCTCGACAAGCTGCTGCTTCTCCTTCTTGCCACTTAATTTTTAATTCTATTTTTCCCTTTCGCGGAAGACTTCTTCGATATGCATTTCGAAACCTTTAAGTCACTCCGGCATGAGCAAGAGGAACGTGAATCCTATTCTCCCTCACCCACACGTCGAATAAAAGCACCGTTATGCTCACACACACACAAAAAAAGCACCATGGCAATCGAATCAAATAAACTAAAGCAAGCAGAAGCAGCCATGCACAGCAGCACAACCGAAAGGAAGGAGAAAACCCCTATCTAGAAAAAACAATGGTCGCCTCATGAGTCGGAACCAGAATGTTCGTCAGCACCTGGGTGTATGAGACTGAGAGACCTACGCTACGCCCTACTACTCGTCACCTGGCACTTGTCACGCACCTGAGCCTTGGCCATCCGCTGCTCGCTAGCTTGTCGTAGGCTCGTAGCTGTCTCCCACGTGTGCCTGCGTTGCGTCTGACTGACACGTCTCCCGCGCGCCGTCGAGGGACCGGACGCCGCCCCGGGCCAGGCCCAGCATGGCGAGCGCGCGGCCGCCGCAGGCGCAGCGCACGACCTGGTGCGCCGGCTGCGGCGCGTACCTGCTCCGCGAGCGCTTCGGCTTCCCCGCGGACTGCATCCTCGTGCTCACGCGTAAATATAATACAGTCTTGGCGTCTCATCTTTTCTCGTGTTTTTTTGCTTGGCATGATTACTATTATTAACAACTGTCCATCGGCTGCAGAGGAGGACAAGGACCCTGCACGGGTGCCGACGCGGGCGAACCTGATGCGCGCGCTGCGGTGGCTCGTGGACGGCACCAGCGCCGGGGACTCGCTGGTGTTCCACTTCTCCGGCCACGGCGTGCAGAAGCTGGACAGGGACGGCGACGAGGCGGACGGGTCCGACGAGGCGCTGTGCCCCGTGGACTTCGAGGACCGCCGCGGCGGCGGCGTCATCCTGGACGACGAGATCAACGCCGCCATCGTGCGCCCGCCCGCTGGGCAAGGGCGTGAAGCTGCACGCTATCGTGGACACCTGCCACAGCGGCACCATCCTCGACCTCCCCTACCTCTGCCGCCTGTCCAGGACCGGGTACTGGCAGTGGGAGAACCAGCAGACCCGCCTCTCCTCCGGCGAGACCAAGTGCACCGGCGGCGGCCTCGCCATCTCCATCAGCGGCTGCGGCGACAGCCAGACGTCGCAGGACACCACGGCGTTCTCCGGGTCTGCCTCCACCGGCGCCATGACGTGCAGCCTCATCAAGGCGGTGGAGTCAGAGCTGGGCACCACCTACGGCCGCCTGCTGACGGCGATGAGGGCCACCATCCGCGACAACGGCGGGGAGTTCGGCATACCGGGCCCCATCGGCACCTTCTTCCGCCGGGTCATCACTTTCAGCTGCGCGCAGGTACAACAAAACTCTGAAACGAAAACGTACGTGCATTATAGGACTACTATATATTGCTGCTCTGGTGGTGCCTGCTTGATCATCGAATTGGATTTTGGTTTCGCAGGAGCCCCAGCTGTGCGCTTCAGAAATGTTCGACATCTACAGGAAACCCTTTCTCTTGTGACTCCTTTCCTTTATATATAGGAGTACTATTTCTGAGATTAGCTCTGCACGGTATACATACGAACACGGTTCCTAGGTGTGTTCTTTTGTCTCCTTTATTTATACTACAGGTACTATTTCGTCGAGAACTACGTTGCGTCTGACTGACACGTCTCCCGCGCGCCGTCGAGGGACCGGACGCCGCCCCAGGCCAGGCCCAAGTTGCCGCAGGCGCACAAAATAACTTTGCCATTCAGAGCACCGCCCGCACGGCCTGCACCACGCCGCCGTGGGCTTTGAGCCTTTCGCCGCAGCAGGCTCCGTCGGGATAATTACTATATTAATTAAGCGCGCGCTCCTGGTGGGGATATTAATTCAACGACGTCAACCGCACGAGATTATAGTAATTCCATACTAAGTGGTTTACTATAACGTTATGATAAATATTTTCATGTGTTATAGTAACAGGGACGGCGAACTATAGTAAATATGTATTGACATTATCGAGATAAATTAATATATAAAATTATCATAAATCCTCCGGCGAGACCAAGTGCACCGGCGGCGGCCTCGCCATCTCCATCAGCGGCTGCGGCGACAGAATAACTTATTTTGACGGCGATGAGGGCCACCATCCGCGACAACGGCGGGGAGTTCGGCATACCGGGCCCCATCGGCACCTTCTTCCGCCGGGTCATCACTTTCAGCTCAAAACTCTGAAACGAAACGTACGTGCATTATACTATATATTGCTGCTCTGGTGGTGCCTGCTTGATCATCGAATATACTCTCTATATATATATATATATATATATATATATATATATATATATATATATATATATATATATATATATATGAGAGAGAGAAATTATTTTCTACTCTAGGTGTGTTAAAGTAGTTACTACAATATGTATAGAACTATCTTTAGATTTTAACTTAATTTTGAGTTACGATAATTGTATATATATAGTAACTCCATACTAAGTGGTTTACTATAACGTTATGGTAAATATCTTCATATGTTATAGTAACCCAACTATAGTAAATATGTATTGACATTATCGTAAATTAATATATAAAATTATCGTAAATAACTTATTTTGTAGCTGGTTACTGAATATTCTCTCTCTCTCTCTCTATATATATATATATATGAGAGAGAGAGAAATTATTTTCTACTCCTAGAAAGTAGTTACTCCCATGTGTATATCTTTAGATTTAAGGTGTATATGGCCCGACGAAGTGTATGTTGACGAAGTATATGATCATATTAGACCATCTATTGTAGTACGTATGTCAAGTATGCAAGTATACATTGAGTATATGGTTATACTTATTTTGTATACTACTGTCATAGTATTAGAATAACGTATTAAAAAATATGGGTTGTTTTAAAAAAATTTCACGTAGTATGATTTGGAGTATCATAAAATAAGTATATAAACACACTCAAACCGATAAATGAATATATATATATTTATTGTTGTTTATTGAAGGCGGAAGTAACTACTCCTAGGAGTATATGTACACATATATATTGGAAAGTGGAACTGAGATGTTGGCAACGCCATGTCGGTAACCACCCAACTTCTTGCAGGCATACAGGAACTTAGTTGCTCACACAGTGAGATAGAGCGGTTCACTGAACAAGACGCCGTAATACGCATTCTTTTTTTTTCTCGAATACACAAAAGCTTTGCGTATCATTGATCAAGTAGAAGAGCTTAGACAAACATACAACGCGCTTGTATCGAGCGTCGAAGGAGGTCAATCTAATACAGCCGTAGCTGGACCATCCTAGCAAGAGACCTCTAGATTCAATATTACATTAAAGGAAACAACAAATACCGACACAACGGTGCGACCTAAGAGGTGGACGTAATACGCATTCTTTTGATTGAAATTTTGTTGATAAAAAATGATGATATACGCTGAGTTGTCGTCCTATTGATCAGTGCATACACACAAAGCAAATGTAAACACAAAGAAATATGAGGAACATGGAGCTCTTTATTTCTTCTTCTCAATGTGTAAAACATAATACATCGAATTGGTTTACCGGGCTCTCCCTTACACTTTTTTAGCCAGGGGAGGCAGCCAGTGAGAAGTTGTCTAGAGGTTTCTCTATTTACTTTAGTTGTGTTTAGTTCAGCTTCTAGAAAGTGATTCTGCGGTCAAAAGGTAGAACACCAACTAAACGGGTACAATCAGAAGCTGCTTTTCCAAAAGCAACTATTTTCATTTAGTATCATCCTGTTCGCTGATTCTGAAATTTGGCTTATGTTGAAATATTGTGAGAGGAAAATACTGTTTCATGGCTGAAAAGTAGTTCTGAATAAGCTCAAGTGAATCTTAGACCCTGATTTTGCCTTTCAGCTTTCTGCTTTTCCTGAAAATAGATAAACATTTACAACTGTTTTAAGGGAGATAAAAGAGAGGGGATATGTCTCATAGTTGTTTTAACCAAACAACTTACTCTTTTTCGTAACACATATCTCATAGCTGAACCAAACAGTCGCATTATCTGTCTCCCACATGCTCCAATATACACGTGTGATTTACACGTAATTAAGTATTTCACAAGTGTAAATTATTCTTTATTTTCTTAAGCACAAATCTTTCGCGCGTCCCATATCTCTCAACATCTAACACGACATGCATCACAAAGGCCCAACCATTCCTTCACTTCTTTCTTGGGGTAATTAATCTGGCATATGCACAAAGAAGTTATTGTATGCTAGAACTTGGACAGAGGGGTCCCGAGTACAATGGGCCTAGTTAAGCGGGCTAAGGTAATCATGAACCATTCCACATCAAAAGGACAACCTCAAATGATATATGTAGTGTTCCTACAAGGAATGATAAGGACTGAACTGAACCTGTTTCTTTGAGGGCAACTATGGTAGGCGATTGCTGACCTGAACTTCTCATGATAAATGTGGCAAAGCGCAGGGTTACAAAAGTAGGAGTACAACAGGACACAACAAAGGAGCAAAGAACATATTACACAAGTAGAAGATACCACCGGGCATGGCAAAGAAATAAGAGGAACACAACTCACATACAGATACAAATGAAGAGACAAGCCAATAAGGCATGACATGACCCATAAAACGACCATTGATCATTTTAGAGCGCCACCACCAAAGAAGCTCAAGACATTGTACAGGTGAAACATAAAGAAATGGATGCGAAGAAAGAACACTCAAAGAACACAGGAGAGGTGCGGGGGGGGGCATGGTGGTGGCGGGGCGGTGAGTTTTTGGTGAGGCCCAGTACGTACGAGGCAGTAAGGAAGATGTACATGACATACTTCCGGTGTGAGCAACGGGGTTTCGTCATAGAGCTAATGCATAGATGATTGAGAAGTGAAGAGAGCATCAAAGATCTCTGATGGTGCGCCGGCGATTTCACTAGAGCTTTGAGGTGCATCTGGAGAGGACCCACTCCTCAGGATAGTACATCGGAATTCTAAGGTGGGGTGCAGGACAAGTCACCAAAGTTTAAGTCTAATGTTTGACAACGTCTAGTTAGTGTGCAGGGGCACCAGATTTAAATTTGATTGTGATTTAAATGCACCAATCTAACCCAATAGCCAACCTGAAATTTGTGCCTATCAGCGACGGTTTCAACTGTTTAATAGAGGCATCATGGATTATTTTATACTTTATATTTAGGGACGGAGGACGGAGGACGGAGGGTAGAGGGAGTAGCTGCAAAGATTGTCAGTGGCACGATGCAAAGATTGTTAAAGACACACAAAACAGTATGGCACGAATCACATTCTGTGTTAACCACAGATCGAAGAAAGCAGATGGCAGATGACGGCCCACAGGTTTAATTTGTTCGGTCCTTGGAATAAAGGAACCGTTGCTTCACTTACAAGCTAATAAAGTGCACAACGGGCGCATATGACTTGCTCTACGCACACCTGGCATCTAGAACAACACTGTGCGTACGTCGATCATCCTCATGGGCAACACGAGGCCGGTCGGCATGGCGAGCGGGGAGACGGCGGCGACGTCGTGGTGCAGCCACTGCGGCATGGGCTTCGCGGCGCCGCCGCCGCCAGGGTCCGGCTCTAGCGTCCGGTGCGCGTTCTGCCACGGGGTGACGCGCATCGAGCACCACCAGCACCAGCGCGGCGGCGCCGTGGGCGAGAGCGCCACGACGACGAGGACGCTCGCGGCGGTAGCCTCGCTGCCGCGGCCGCCGCCGGTCCCCGCGGGGCTCGTCGAGATCCCGGCGGGCTACCCCAGTAGGGTGAGCGGCGGCGGGAGTAAGCGGGCGCTCCTGGTCGGGGTCAGCTACACGGGCACCAAGCATGAGCTCAGGGGCACGGTCAACGACGTCAAGGAGATGAGGAGCCTCCTCTGCGACAGGTTCGGGTTCCCGAGCGCCTGCATCCTCGAGCTCACTGGTAAATTGATTAATAAACCAATGGACTTGCTTGGAGTGGATCGTCGTCGTTCATCAAGAACCATTCGAGAGGTAGCGAAGACTGATTGATTTCTTGCGTATGCATGTGGCGACTGCGCGACAGAGAAGGAGAGTGACCCCACCAGGGTGCCGACGAGGGAGAACCTGCTGCGGGCGATGCGGTGGCTGGTGGAGGGCTCCCGCAGCGGCGACTCGCTGGTGTTCCACTTCTCCGGCCACGGCGTGCAGAAGCTGGACATGAACGACGACGAGGTGGACGGGTACAACGAGGCGCTGTGCCCGATGGACTTCGAGCGGAGCGGCAAGATCCTGGACGACGACATCAACGAGATCATCGTGCGCCCGCTCGGCAAGGGCGTGAAGCTGCACGCCATCGTGGACACCTGCCACAGCGGCACCATCCTCGACCTCCCCTACCTCTGCCGCATGTCCAGGTATGTATGTAGGTACCATGAAGTCGCAGGCTCTGCATTTCAGCTGTAGATGTTCAAAACACATCTATCAGAAAATGACGCATTGCTTGCCGATCTGCATTTCAAGAACTGGGTACTGGCAGTGGGAGAATCACTCCCGCCCTTCGGGCATATTGACGAAGCGCCCCAACGGAGGCCTGGCCATCTCCATCAGCGGCTGCAGCGACGACCAGAAGTCCGCCGACGCCAGCGTATGTCCAGCTCTCAACCAAAACTCCGTCCTCTGCTGTCGAAACAGTTCTGACGAGATGCGGGTATCAGATGTTGCGCTGATCATATCGTTTATGAACATGATGATGCATTGAAAACGTACAGGGATTTTCTGATGAGTCGTCTTCGATCGGCGCCATGACGGACAGCTTCATCAAGGCCGTGGAGGCCGAGCCGGGGACGACGTACGGGCGGCTGCTGAGCGCGATGAGGACGAGGATCCGCGACGGCCAGGGTAGCCGCCGCCTCCCCGGCAGGCTCGGCTCCTTCGTCCGCTGGATGATCCCGTCCAGCGGCGTGCAGGTGATCTTCTTCATCTCGACACGGCGTGATTGTTGGACTGCCACTCCTCTCACTCACTCTTGGCTGCATGTATATACGCAGGAGCCTCAGCTTTGTTCTTCAGAGATGTTTGACATCTACAGGAAGCCATTCCTGCTCTGATTTGGTCGTCTCGTAACTTGATCTGAATGTCATTGTTGTGCTGTGTACCGGTGTGTCCGTGTGTAACTCGATCCGTCAGTTCATGCCTGTGCATATCTGGCATGTGAGTATATTTTACACGTGAATCAAGTCGTGCCACGCGCCAAGCACACCAGCACCTTTTTGCGTAGCGCACAGCAACAGGTGTCAGATAGCAACAGGTGTCCAGATACGCTAAGACAAAAGGATTATTTTCGACTTAAAAAATCACGCGCTGCCGGCGTGCTTATAAGATTCGACGCGACGAAGATCAAGACAAATTTTTTTGGATTTTGGGGAAACTAAACCGGGCCTAAGACAGGTTGTTTCGACCAAAATCTGCGCTGCCGGCGCCCGCCACCGTTGGCTTGACATGACATGCCTTCATATTCAATATTCGCCCAGTTGTAAGCCCAAGAGTCCAAAGAGATGCATACTTGCTACTCATACAACACTAACAAATCTTTAGTCTTCAATTTGATCGCTTGCTAATGCTCTCTAGCACTCTAGGAACCTCTGAGATAAGTATACATATGCACTCGCCTGGTCTACGAGAGCTCACAAAGAGCTATAGAACACACATAGGGCCTATTTGCTGACGTTGTCTTTACCAAAGGAGCCGCGGGAGCCACAGAATAGAGGCTTCACCTGTACAGTTCTATTGTTCAAAAACAGTTTCTTCTCCGGAGCTTCACTTGAGGAACTGTCAACCCGGATCTTGTCGCCGTCGCGCCGAAGGCTGCGAAACCATGGCCGGCCAACCGCCGCCGGGGCGAGGGCGGGCGACAGTGGGGCCAGCGACGAGCGGTAGCGGCGTGCACGAGCGGGGCCATCAACGAGCGATTGCATGCACATTGGGGAGCAGGGTCGAGTCGGTTAAAGTGAGAAATTTCTAATCTTGTATAGTTTGGTAAGTTAAGGGGTAAGTGAACTTTCATTCAGGACCTATAATTCCCTATAACCTGGTCTCAACTAGATTATGTGATTATGGTGATCAGGAGTTTTAATTATAACAACGCATCATATAATCAATCTTATTTAGATCATAACTTGATTATATAAACCGATTATTATAATTCGACGGGTATCAAACAGGACCTAACCGAGGAAGAAGAACTCCAGAGGCGCTCCAACGGCCATACGAAGTTGGGCGTGATTGGTTGGCTGGTTTTAGCCCAGCCAGGCCCCAAGCCTACCCCACATTAGGCCCCAGTTTGTGTCAGAGTGGAATAGAAGGGAATTTAGTTTAATTCCACTTCTATCCACGTGGATTAAAATGAATACATATCTAAATAAGGACTTAGAGGAGGAATTGAAGCTGCACCTGCATCGCGATTATTTGGCCGTCCGGATGGACGGACATTCGGTTCGCCGGGCAACTTGTATGGCTAGAGCGGTTGGAGATAGATAGATGCCGATGCTTTAGGAGCCATGCATACTTAGGCCGGCGGTGCATATTCCTCTCGGTAACAGTAGCTAGCTAGATGCCTGGATAGGATGGCGGAACCGTCAACAAAGCTGGAACGGGAATCAGACACACACACACCGCGCGGTATCATATCACCCATCGATTCCCTGCTTCTATCTTTCCATCTCTCTGTGACTCGATCAGTCTAAGCCTGCAACCGATGCAGAACATGATTGAAAGAGGCTGATCTCTTCTTCTTTTTCTCTCTCTAAATTTTGTTCTTTTCTCTACCTCTTCTTCTCAATATATATAATAAAGTTTGCACCAAATTAAATCTGCCCAAGAGCAGTGTGCACGTAACCAAAAGAAAATAAGGCCCGTTTGGATCCTTTGAATTAAATTTATTTTAATAATTATAATTTAAATATATATTAATTAAGCTAATATGGTTGTATATGGATTATATTTGTATATTATTGTTGGTTATACGAGAGATACATATGTGTTGCATTTCTATCGTAGGGGAGTGAGTTGAAAAACATGTTATAAGTTGCAAAATAGAAACATATATATAATGGTAATCTATAGAATCAGTTTTCATCTCCCACCCTATGAATTTGAGAAAAGCTTATATTTTAAACTTTGGAAAGTACTGAAATGTTAAATTCCAAACCAAATAGCCTAAGCAGATTTCAATTTCTCCAAATAAAAGGATCTCAATGGCCCCTAAAGGTAAATGTCAATGCAACAAGGAGCGTTTATTCATATTTTGTCAGTTTTTGCGATATATATGCAGCGTAGAAAATAAATAGAAAATGTTCTCACAAGACAATATATGCTCATATCCACTAAAATGTTCTCCTTCCCCTTTCACGGTCGCTTGCACTAAAATGAAATCCCTGGCATTGGTATCTGGTAATAGTAGCCGTCATAGGATCATTTCCCTATATAAAGGGGCCGGGACGAGGTGATCGTAGAAGCAGAACCAGCCAAGAAGCAACCTACTAAGCAAACGCAAGGCAGCTGCCCCAGCTCGCTCCCGGCTTAGTAGCCAGCCAGCCATGAACTTCGGTGGCAATGGCAACGCGACGATCCGGTGCAAGTACTGCAGCGCGTGCCTGACCGTGATCCCCGGCGAGCACGCCATCCAGTGCGCGCAATGCAACTGCGTGATGCGCATCCGGCGCGCCGACCGCATCCCGGTGGCGCGGCCGGGGCACGTTCCCGCGGCGTTCCAGCGCGCCCGCGGCAAGAAGCGCGCCGTCCTGATCGGCATCACGTACGCCGGCATGCGCCGGGGCTGCGGCGAGCTCAGGGGCCCCGTCAACGACGTCAAGTGCATGAGGAACCTCCTCTGCCAGCGCTTCGGCTTCCCCAGCGAGTGCATCATCATGCTCACCGGTATGTCATGTAACATGTCGTCTCCATGCATGGATTAATTAGTTGGAACGACGAACTGATGAGCAGTGAGTGATCGACCTCATGATGGTATTGCTGCATCTGCATATGCAGATGACCAGAGGGACCCGTTCAGGCTGCCGACCAAGGAGAACATCCGGATGGCGATGCACTGGCTGGTGCAGGGGTGCAGCTACGGCGACTCCCTGGTGTTCCACTTCTCCGGGCTGGGCGCGCAGGTGGCCGACGACGACGGCGACGAGGCGGACGGGTACGACGAGGCCATCTGCCCGCTGGACTCGTTCCAGCGGGGCCCCATCCTGGACGACGAGATCAACGAGGCCATCGTGCGCCCGCTGGTGCACGGCGTCAGGCTCCACGCCGTGGTGGACGCCTGCTACAGCGCCACGCTGCTGGACCTCCCCTACCTGTGCCACATGTCCAGGAACGGGTTCTGGCAGTGGGAGGACGAGAGCCCCCCCTCGGGCGCCCGGAAGGGCACCAGCGGCGGCCATGCCGTGCTCATCAGCGGCTACAGCGAGGGCAAAAGCAACTTCGCCATGGTCAGTCAGGGATCAGAGTATCATACCCGATCATCATCATACATACATGCATATATATACATAGGCCCCGTTCGGCTTACTGAAACTCGACTGAATTGGCTGAAAAACACTGTTCTGGCTGAATTGTTGTGAGAGAAAAACACTGTTCCGGTTGAAAAAACAAGCTGAATAGTGCGGATTATAAGGTAAGCCGAACGGGGCCATATTAGTCTGAATTTTTTTTTCTTGTTCGGCCATCGATCTCTGCCTTACATATATGCATGCTGCTTGGACGACGACGACGTGCAGATGCCGGATGCCTACGCATCGGTGGGGGCCATGACGCACAGCTTCATCCGGGCGCTGGAGTGCGAGCCGCGCGGGGTCACCTACGGCCGCCTGCTCACCTCCATGAGAGCCATCATGAAGAACCGCGGCGGGGGCTACGATCTGCAGGGGCCCATCGGCGCACCCATCCACACGGTGGCCAACTTCAGCGGCGTGCAGGTGCGTGACAGCGTGAGGCTCTGATCGATATCCTGGCAGCTTCCTCCTCCCTGTCTGTGTGTTGTCTGGCAACAACAGCCTCGGCTGTGCCCCTGACCTGACCAAACTCTCTTGTGCATCATCATGGTTGGTTTGATTTTGCAGGAGCCAAACCTGTCCTCCTCGGAGATGTTTGACATACACCGCAAGCCGTTTGTGCTGTAAAACACCAAGGCTTGTGCGTACAAATCACTACTACTGCTGCAGTTCAACAATACTTAAGGATCGCCGTATCAGAATAATCAATTATCCATCAGCTTGAACAATGATGCTTTCCTAGTTCTATGTGTCACCGGTTCTGGAGGACATGGCTGCTCATCCAGCAAACCGTACCTCCCTTAGCCTTCTAGTGAACCTCAATGTAATAATTAAGGCTGTTCGAGGTCCACTTATATATGTAAACCAAGTGCTACATGCGGCTTCAGCTTGCAGTTTATGTGATCAAAAAGCAGTTTATGCGGCTTCAGCATGCAGTTTATGTGATCAAAAAGCAGTTTATGCGGCTTCAGCATGCAGTTTATCCAGGTGTGAGTTTGTGATGGAACTGAAGCTTTTCTAGATAGTAGAAAGAACTTTAGGCTTCATCCTCAAGGAAGAGGAATCAGACCAACCTATTAAATCCAACACAGCACAACGACCGGACTGAATTTACAGAACAAAGCCAACTAATAACTCAATTTTTTGAAATAAAAGGTTATTGAATGACGCGATGAAATGCATATAGACGCATCCTCGAGCTTGTGGCATTCCCAAAACTAACTACTTTTGTGACTCACTTTAAGGACCGAATGGCCAAAAGGAGAGGGTGAACTAGTCTCTAAAAATTTAAGTAGCAATCTCTAAAAATTTAAGTAGCAATTTTAGCCTATGCAAACTCTAGACCCCTAGTGCACCTTGGCTCTCCTAAGTTTTTCAAAAAAAAAACAGTCTAATGCATTCTTAGGGCTAACACACTAAATATGTCCTTACATTAGCAAATATTCACATTAAGAGTTAGGTACTTAGTGAGGCAAGTATGAAACCTAGGTGTCGGGTGCCTTAGAACGGGGTACCCCAAGCAAACATCAAAATAAAGCTAGAGGGTAAGCCGTGGGCCCCTCACCTGCCACGACCGAGCCCTCCTCCACCTCGCCTCGAGCCTCGAGCAGAAGGTCTCGGAACAAACTCCGCCTCGCGCGAGGCTCCCCAGGGTAGGCCTCGGCAGGGGGCGCCGAGCCTCGGCAGGGGGCGCCATCTCCGTCTCGTCCGAGGCTCTCCAGGGAAGGCCTCGGCAGGGGTACATTCTCCGTATCGCGCAAGGCCCCAGCCTCCATGTCGCTCGAGGCCGGGTCGCCCGCAGCCCGTCACCCCCGCCTCGACCGACCCTCCAGACAACGTGTCATGTCCCATTAATGCTTCAACCACTCCCGCAATCTCAGCCGGACGACGGCTCAACGCCATAGAATGGCCGACGCGACCCAAGGTCGCATCAGCGCCATACCGGCTGGGACAGGTCTGGCGGGAATTACCGCCATCGTGTCCGACAACAGATTCACGATCTGCGCGCCATACCGGCTGGGACAGGGTACGGCGGGAATTACCGGCCACCGTGTCCTAACACTGTACCCACGATCAGCCGCCCACTCGAGGCCTCGGCACCGTACACCAAGGTCTCGGCCATCTTGGGGATCGTGCCTGCCGAGACCCCTCCACCATGGTGCAGCCTCGACACCAAGTCTCGGCCTCGCGCGCAGTCCATCCATAGTGGCTTGCACGTCCACCGCCGCGCCCACTCCGAGGCAGTCCCGGGGCTCCCACGACGCACAGGATCTGATAGGACGGCCACGTCGCCCCAGTGCTCCAAGGACGGACCACTCCGATGGCCGCACCGCCACAGGAACAGGCTAAAGCACAGGCTCGAACACGCCGCCTGCTCACACGACGCCAGTATAGTTAGCTCATGTACCGCCCCTAGTCCTCCCTTCATGCTATAAAAGGAGAGGACCTGGGTTGTTTTAAGGGGGGGACACCTTAACACACACACACACACACACACACACACACACACTCGCCACTTTGAGAGCAACGTCTCAAGCGGCCCAGACGACACCCCGCCGAGACCTAGGACCAGCTCCTTTCTCTCCTTTAGCTTGTAACCCCTACTACGAGCACCTCGGTGCAAGGAATACAAGATCGATCTCTCGACCGGACGTAGGGCCTCGATTGCTCGAACCAAGATAAACCTTGTGTCTCTTTGCATCACCATCCGGATCGGGAGCACGCAGAACAAATTCACTGGTTGGTTGAGGACCCCCCGGTCCGAAACACCGACAGTTGGCGCGCCAGGTAGGGGCCGCTGCGTGTCGGTTTCGTCTTCCCAGCAGGTTCCGGATGGCAGACCCCGTACGACCATTGCATCTCGGCACCGTGGTTTGGTTCGGGAGGCTAGAGTTCATGTCTCTAGGGCATGAGTACGACATGGTGCTCCTCACTCCTCGAGCCCCATCAACCAATGATGAAGTTACGCCCCGGCAGCCCAGGCGCGGGCGGCGTCTGGGCGGCCGCTCTCGCCGCGCTCGCCAAGCACGGCACGAACAAGGCCACCCCGACGCTACGCGAATCCGGGGCGACACGCCACCCCCCGCCGATATCCTACGACCAGCTGTTGGCACAAGGTCCCTGGCTGGGGACCTGTCTAGCCTGAGCTTGGACAAAGGAGACTTGCCTATGGCACGGGGCGATGCCCAGTCGTCCAGCTCCGCTCCATCACTCCCTGAAGAGCCGGCCCCGGCGGAGCAGAATCTGGAGACGGCACCGTCCCCATACCCCTTTGGGTTGAGAAATGCCGCTGCCTCTTATGCCTACGCTTACACTGCCGCTCACGAGCACCCCTCGGAACGCCGCCAGCGCTTCGCTCTCGGCCTGAGCACCCACTCCGACTCCTCGGACGAGGACGAGGCATGGCCCGGGGTGGATTTCTCCGAACTCCACAACCCTGGGGCTTTGCGCCAATTCTTGGCCGCGAGCGACTACTGCTTCGGCTACTCCGACTCCGACGACGAAGGCACCTACGACCCCACTCGCGAATGTTTTCATGTCGGGCTCGGGATGCCGAGGGCGGGCGAAGAGGACGAGGGGGCAGGTAGCGCTCGTTCTCCCGCTTCTGCCCGGCGTGGCGTCGCTACACCTCCACGCGCCGTCCCGCCGCCGCAAGATGAAATGAGAACGTCGCTCTTGCGCGACCTCAATACTTGCAGACCTAGAACAGCTCCGTGAGTTCCGGTGCCAAGGTCGAGCAAGACCAACTCCTTCTGCAGCAGCTTCGAGACTCTCTTGAACAGGAACAGCGAGGTCGCGGCGAAGGCGGGGGAGCCCGACGGAGGGCCCTCGACGTGCATCACCGCATCCATAACGACGAAGAGAGTGAGCAACCCCCGATCTTCAATCGCGCTAGCCAGAACGTCGCGGCTGCGGCGATGCTGGTTCGCGCAATGCCCGAGCCTTCTACCGCGGAGGGGCAGCGGGTCCACGGCGAGCTCCGAGATCTCCTAGAGACCACCGCGGTTCAGCAAGCCGAGAGTTCTGCCTCCCGACGGCACGGGGGCGTCTCGAACCTGCCCACGGCACCACCTCAGCAGGACAGGGAAGCCTCGGCTCGTCCCGAACCTGCTCGAGCACCGATAGCTCATAGGGTCCCCGTGCTTCTTGACCGCCTCGACAATCGACACGAGGGGTAGGGAGACCACGAGGTGGTCGGCCGCCGACGACGCCACGATGGTGAGGGGCCCGCCCGAGGCTACCATGTGCACCGAGGTAGCCGCTATGACAGCGAGGAAGACCGCAGCCCTTCTCCTGAGCCACCTGGCCCTCGAGTCTTCAGCAGAGCTATCCGTGTCGCCCAGTTCCCGGCCCATTTTCGGCAACCAGCCAACCTCGCGAAATACAGCGGTGAGACCAACCCCGAACTCTGGCTTGCCGACTACTGCCTGGCCTGCCAGCTAGGTGGCACGGATGATGACCGCTCATCATCCATAACCTCCCTTGCTCTTGTCGGACTCGGTAGCGAGCTCTGCTCGAGCACCTCCCTCCCTCACAGATCCACGACTGGCGTGACTTGGTTAGGGTCTTCGTTGGGAATTTTCAGGGCACGTACGTACGTCCCGGAAACTCCTGGGACCTTAAGAATTGCCGCCAGAAACCAGGCGAGTCTCTCCGAGATTTCATCCGGCGCTTCTCCAAACAGTGCACCGAGCTGCCCAGCGTCGGCGACTCGGAGATCATCCAGGCTTTCCTCTTCGGCACCACCTGCCGGGACCTGGTGCGGGAGCTAGGTCGGAACGTGCCACGCACCGCTGCTGCGCTCCTCGACATCGCCACCAACTTCGCCTCGGGCGAGGAGGCCGTCGGTGCCATCTTCCCCGACAGCGACGCCAAGGGAAAACGGAGGGACGAGGCCCCCGACGCCTCGGCCTCCCACCTCCCTAAGAGAGAGAAAAAGGGGCGCCTAGGGAAGCAGGAGGCCATGGAGGCTGATCTGGTCGGGGCCGTAGAACGCAAGAATCCCCGAGGCCCCAAAGGCCCTAGGCCTTTCGACGACATGATCAAGAAACCATGCCCTTATCACCAAGGCCCGGTCAAGCAAGCCCTCGAGGATTGCTCCATGCTGCGACGTTACTACGCCAGGATCGGGCTCCTCAACGACGACGCCAGGCAGAAGGGCGCCGGCGACCGGGACGAGGACAAGGACGACGGGTTCCCCGAAGTACGCAACGCCTTCATGATCTTCGGTGGGCCCTCGGCATGCCTTACGGCGCGGCAGCGCAAGAGGGAACGCCGAGAGGTCTTCTCGGTCAAGGTAGCCACCCCCCAGTACCTTGACTGGTCTCGAGAGGTGATCACCTTCGATCGAGATGACCACCCTGACCATGTTCCGAATCCCGGGCAGTACCCACTGGTTGTCGACCCGATCATCGGCAACACCCGACTCTCCAAGGTGTTGATGGACGGAGGCAGCGGCCTCAACATCCTCTATGCCAACACCCTAGAACTCTTGGAGATCGACTGGTCGAGGCTCCGAGGCGATGTCGCACCCTTCCACGGCATCGTGCCAGGGAAGCGCACGCGACCCCTCGGGCGCATCGACCTTCCCGCCTGCCTTGGCACCCCCTCCAACTACCGCAAGGAAG